ACAAGAGCTGTTCCGGATAAAAAAAAACATACTTCGACGTCAAGGGCAGATAAAATAATGTTCTTCATTGCAGCTTATCTCTTTAAGGGGTCGATAGAAAAACTCAGGTGATTTACTTCGATCCTCTTCAAAAAATTGTCTCTTCAAAACGCATCAACAAAAATTAAAAACTCAAAGACGAGGCTGTAGCTAACTACCTGACGGCAGCCCGATTTGTTGAAATTCGTAGAAATAACGAAGCAGGAGGAAATTACAAGCAAACACACCGAGCAGCCTCGCAAAATCTGGTCACAGCAGTTTGGGAAGAAAATGGCAGCAGCTGCTGACGAAACGTCAACATCCCTACTGTTAGAATGAAGAAATGAGTTTGATGATGTTTAAGTGTAGTTTTAAAACACAGGGTAACTGATTTAGAGTCAAGTGGAATTGTCATCTATTAACCGTTATTGGCTAAAGAATTGACTGAGCCCAACCCGACTGTATGTCTTGGATGTCTACAGCAGCTGAATAGTTTGGTGCAACTACAACAATGTTGTTAAAAACAGGCTTGGCTTTTCAGCTATTTTTTATCAAAGTAAACGCTTGAAGAAAAAAATATGCTATTCAGAAAAATGACCTGCATTCATTTCTCAACTAATGGTGGCACATTTCAGATTAGTATTTGAACAATGGTGCGTGATGGTGTTGCACAGTTACCCTTCATGCAGCACCATCATGCAATAAACCACACAATTATCTGAATATTACATCTAAACACTAATCCAAAAAAAGGCAAAGCAGAAGACCCACCGTGCGGAAGTCAGACTCAAACTTGTACGCCCCCCCTCCTGTGGCGCAGAGGGTGGTGTGGAGGCTGGAGAAGTGCTTGTTGCGGACCATTTGTAAGAAGACGGGGAGGTCGTGCGTGGGGAAGCGGATGAAGTGCAGGTTGCCTTTCCTGCCACACAGCGTCAGGTCCTGCAGCTCCAGGTGCACATCCCTGATGCCGGTCGTGCCGTAGGCCGTGTTGGAAGTCAGATAGCGCCGGATGCTCTTCAGGTTCTCCACCTCCTCCTGTTCTTCCTCTGCTGTGATGTCTTTGGGCTCAAAGTACACAAGCTTCACCAGGGTGCCACCGATGTCCATTCCAAACCAAGGAAATGCTGTGTGAGTGTGTGTGTGTTGGGGGGAAAAATCATATGCAGAAAGCCAATCACAACTGCAATTATAAATATATATGCATGTGCAGTGGTAATAAAACACATTTAGCCACAGTAGGAACAATTACGGATGATGCTTTAAATATGACCTACACAATAGTGAGCAGCTTCTTTACRAGCAGGAGACAAGAGTACAGTGTGTACTGCGAACGCCATCTTGTTGCAAAAACAGATTGTGGCTATATTTACTGCCATCGATAAAATAACACATGCCACTGCACTGCCAAATTCACCGTGCGTTTTAGGTGTAAAAACAGCGAATTATATATTAATGTTTTTAGGTAACAAAATAACCAAATACGGAATTTTCTCCACACCCATTCAAGCACCGAGTGGGAACGCCTTATAGCGTACACATGATAAGCAACAACCCCTTTATGTGTAAACACACCCCAGCGGCGTTAACACCTACGCGGCCTCGTCTTCTTAACCGAGTCTTTCCGATGCCTCGGCGTCGAGTTGGATGTCCGCCGCTCGCACGTCGCTCTTCCATCCGCCGCGGTCGCCTCGTTTTGGGGCTCGTTTTTGAAGTGACCGGGCATCTCCTGGTTGCACCTCGGCAGCTTCGAGGGCGTTTCGTCGACAATGTCATCGTCGCATTGATGGCCATTAAACGCCATTGGATTCACCGGTTAACTACATATATTATGTATACTTCAAATAATTATTTAAACGCCAATGGAAGAAAATACAAACCAAGTCGTAAGAGACAAGCAATTAGCGCGCTAACAGGTATCTTAAATGGCTGAGCTGCACACGTCCTTTTTGTGTTCGCTGTCAGAGAGAAAGTGGGTGGAGCTAATAGATGATTGACGGAATATAGAACCAATCAGAGAACAAGCACGCAAGACAAGGTTGGACTTCAAAAGTAGAGCAAAAATAAAAACAGCTAATATTTATTGGGAATCAAACTGTAGTTTGTTTAATGCTTTAAAAAGGGGTTACGTGTAAAACAATATTTAAATATTTTCTCTTTGCATATAAACACACCTGTATTTAGATTCAAACAATAAAATGATGCGTTTTTTACTTGAAYTATTCATTTCTAGCCTGGCCCTCGCCTTCCTAAGCAGCTCCGCTCAATAGTTTCCCTTGACTGATCCTTGTACGAAGCACAGTGAAGGACAGGGTCTTACGGAGCCTGCGGGGGTCAATGGTGAGAAAAAAAAAACAGCCACCGGAAATCCGTGCTTACGGATTACTAAACTGTGCGCACGGATTGCAGAAACTGTGCGCACGGATTGCAGAAACTGTGCGCACGGATTGCAGAAACTGTGCGCACGGATTGCAGAAACTGAGAGCATGGATTACTAAACCGTGCTAAACTGTGCGTGTAAACAAATTTTTGCAGACAACACATTTGTATTAAATTCATTGCTTATTTTGCAACGTACATTTTAATTTGAAATAACAGAAAAACTTCACATATTTGCAATAAAGCATACAGTATGTGTTGTGACTCTCAGTTACTACCACGCCAAATTTAAAGACATCTGTGAAATTTTCTGAACACTCACACAAATAAATTTTTAAAATCTTATTTTTATTTATGGTAATGTTGAAGTGCATAGTTAAAGACGGATAAAACTGAATTCCCATGATTAATACATTTTATCACAGCTCATTTGTGCTTGTACATGTGAAAAATGTTTATCACGAATCTTATTCAGAGCATTCCTTGTGTCAACAAGTTGTTTTTACACTTAAGAAAACTAACACCTTAATAACAGGACAAATGAAAAGAAAATCAACTGAATAATAATCTGGCAAAAAAAAAAAAACAATAAAGTAAAATAAAATGCACTAAATACCAGACAGAAGTACATAATGAGCAGGCAGATCAAAATGGCTTTAAGGCAAGATGTTAGCATAATGTGCAGTTTATACATTTAAAATGTTTGTATAATAGACATTTTTATATTTTGTTGCATTTCACAAACTGTTAGAAGTCATTGTCAAATGTCTAAACTGAATCAGCCAATGGCACGAAGAGTTACAAACATCACAGTCAATTATGGCCAAAAAATCTTGAGAAAAATTAAACTGACTTTTTCAGGGTTTACTTGATTCTTCGATTGCTTAAAAGTCAGGGCACAAAAACAGAAAAACATTGGTATGACCAATCAGTCTATGCTAAAGAGGCAAGCTTTCTGCCACCATCTTGGTAGGTGCTACTAGTGCTCTTGGTTACTACTGACGTGGCAGCAAACCACGAGTATCAGAGGGGAAAAAAACTAAACTTAGTCGAGCATATCTGGTCAGACTAAGTAGATAATGTGAAGTACTTAAAGTGTAGTTATGCACTGGTCCAGAATGATTTCAACACTGTACTGCTCTGGGTTGGCATTTTGCCAATAAAATAAGCCTATTTTATGCACTTTTGGACTGATGACATGGTGTACAGCAAGGTAATATGTGGCCATTACAGTGTTTATCTATTTCAGTGATTTAGGATGTCAATTGTGCTTTGAGCTATTTTAATTCAGTTTTTTAATAATACGTAGGTCTATGTACAAATAAATATAAAAGACACTAGCCATAATTTAGCCTTCTTACCCACAGTATCAACAACAAAAATGATTTCAATGTGATATGCTGCTGAAACCTATTCATCTATAATCCACATTCAACAAAGTCCAAGTTATCCACGTACTGCTCTCACAGCTACCATCCTCAATCGTACAAAAAGAAAACAGTCAAGCACTCAACTACAGAGTCGTGGTAACCTTTAAAACCCCACATTTGCAGCGAGTGCATACACAACCTTAACCAATCTTAACTCATTTCCATWAAATGGTTCAGCTAAAATCAATGTGCTACAATTAGTCTTGAAAGGTCAAAGCTATGTATTGATAAAAACATAAAACGCAGAAAAACCTTGCAACTAATCCTGAAACAGTGGCATGATCACAGGCCTGAGCAATTGTTACTAGGAGTAATTATTAACCCTCCTGCTGCCCTYGAGTCAAAATGACCTCAAGGTGTCAGTAATAAAACAGAGAAACTGAACTTTCTGGGATTATTTTGACCCAAAAACAGCAAATGGGTTAAGGTGATGCTTTGTCCCATATTTGTACATTGACACAATAAGGCACCATAACCTCCTAGTTAAGTTATCTTAAAGCATTAGCTTCCCTTTCATTATAGGTGATAAATACTTTTATTTTTTGAACTTCCATACCATCAGCAGTGCACAGATACCCACTCCTGCAGCCACCAGAAAGTACTTTGCATTACTTGACTGACAAGGATTGTTGCACGGAGCAATCTTTTCCTCTGAACTCTGCAGCGATTTTGGCTCAGAGGGGTTGTTGCTCTCGCTGTGGGGGTGGGGGTGGTTTAAACTCGACAGATTAGAATTAGCAGCATTAGTGAATACTGGTGTTTCAGAGGTGCTCTTAACAGATCTTTCACTGTTTGTTTGTGGTACCATAGTTTGACCATCCAGGTTAGGGATCGACGGCGTCTCCGATACGTGCACCACATTCTCCAGCACCTCCTCCATGGTCTGATTTGGAGATTCATAATGGTTCTCCTCAGGTTCGTTCGAATTAGGAGTGGTGCCGTTCTCTTGGCACAGCGAGGTTGGGATCAGCGTGTCGGACAAAGACTCGCTTATTTCCAGTCGTCCACTGTTACCGGAGTAAGGCGCAACGTGCGAGTTGGACGCCTGGACAGGGGGACCGGCAGAATTTTCTGGTTGAAAGCTGATGAGTTGGTTGGGCTTGCTCAGGCACACAGTTTCATAGTCATCATCAGCGCGAGGGGCGCTCATTCCACCAGGACGAGAGGCTGTAGCTGCACGTCCCGTCCGCGGGCTGCTCCTAACAATCTGCAGGAGAATACGACGACAGGTTTATTTTTTTTAACAAAAAATTCTTGTCATAAAACCCTTCATTGCACTTTTATAATAGGAAGATTAGTGAAAAAAGCTTCAACAAAAGGCCACTGCTGCAGAACAGAGGTGTCAAGGAAATACTTTACTTAAAGGAACAAAGTGTAATACCCAGCGACATCTAGTGGTCGAGGCTCCTTACTACAACCAACTGAAAAATCATTCCACAACCCCTCCAGAACTATGTAGCTTAGTATGAAGACAACCATGGCAGAGATACATGCAGCTGAAACACCTAGTGCATCCTAAAAATTTCAACATTTACATTTTGGCTGTTTATGGGCTGCAGCTGACATAGACCGAGGCCCACCTTCGCTGTAGGCTGTTCATGGCATGAACGGCTGTGAAATGAGACGGTGTAGTCTACAGAAGACGTATGGGTGACCATGGTGATACACCTTATACCACATCACTTCAGTAGTTGTTTCACCGTATAACTTCACAAAATTCTGTATTATTAGAAAAACGTAAATGAATAAAAAGCATTAATAATTTGAATTTAGCTCCAGTATCAGTCCTTATAATTGCATTTTTGCAAGTTTCATCAGACAAGTACTAAAAGTAGGGATGCACCGATATGAAAATTTCAGCCGATATCGATATCCAATTTAATTATTGCTGTTATGACCGATAACCGATATTTACCGATATTACACAAACACACAAATTATATTATACATATACACACAAACACACTTGTTTTTTTTTGGATACCATAAATAAAGAACCAAACCTCTGACATGGCTCTGCTTCAGTTATATTCCCTGGAAGTGCAGCGTCAATGTCACTATCATGATCAAACAGACGACTCTCAACCAACCGTCTCCCCTCCCAAAACAGAAACTAAAGCTAAAAATTGGGAAATCAATATCGGACATTAATATCGGCCCAGTTTTACATATCGGGCCGATATCGGCTGATACCGATATGAATGCCGATATATCGTGCATCCCTAATTAAAAGTACTAAACATACACTTTATTTTATTTTTTACTTGTTTGCTTCTGCTCTTGGAGTAGTAGGACATCTTTTCCCTCTCTCCTGCCTTCCCTTATCTTCCCTTCTTTGCTGCTTGGAGCCTTCTTTACATTTTCATCTGAAACCAGAAACTATATTTTTCTTTTTTTGTATTTGTTTAGCTGGTCTCTTAATGAAATCTTGGAACAAATTTTCTTCCATGGGAGGACACGTCAAAGGTGGGACCTCTGATCAGCTGGGTCAACTATTTGGATTCTGATCACTGGATTTCTACAGATTGGCTTGGTGGTCTCCTGGTGTTCTGCAAAACTGAGTCAGTGGCTATCCAGGCCATTTCCTGGCTGCCTGACCAATATGAAGGATTGCCGTGCTTTCAGCACTCAGACTCACGCACTGAGCGAGCTGGGACTCGGTCTGCGAGCGGTTCTTGCTGAGGGTCGTGGGCCAGCTGTGGTCCCTGGAATTCGCTGGCGAGATGGAACTGATCCTGGAGAAGTTGATAGCTTGGCTTGGCGGGATTGCCCACACTAAATTTCTGATTGGAGTCGCCACATTGGACGTACCAGCGGACATTAAGGCACATGGAAAATGATTACCGAAAACATTTTTCTCTGTTTCCAAACAACTGTGATTACAGATTCAGCTCTCCCTTACGTGGCCTTGAAGGGCTGTGGATCTTAAATTATCTTGGATGTTTATATCAACTGAGGCTCTGCCCTTTAATTAATGAAAGTGAATACTTCTGACACCTCTGCTGCAGAACAATGTTTTTATAGTTTGTTTTGTTTGGTCATGTAGTAGAAGCATGTGGCTGCTTGTCACATGCAGCTGCCAAACAGACACACCTGCCAGCGATTCAAGAGAATGAAAGACGTTTTACAAGAACTGTAGCGATAAACCAGCAAAGTTCGGAAAAACAGTTGTGACTGACTTCAAGCAAACTTGATCAACCACAGTGAATATGAAGAAGTGTAGTACAGAAAATCATCTAGCAGTTTGTAATTGTTTTATTTTTCTCTAAATTTAGGTTTATAGTGAATACAAGCTGCTGTTCACCTGTGTAGCTGCAGGTTCAGGAGGCTCCTCTGGCAGCAGAGCAGCAGCAGGTACTTTGTTGACCGGAGGAGTGGTGTCCTGGACCGGGGGCTTCTCTGGTGTCCTCGTCGGGACAGAAGATCCATCTAAGCTCATCTGAGGAGCAGCCGGGCTGTGTGGCAGCTTTGTGCTAACTGCTGTGTGGAAATAATCTGCAGACGGTGAAGTGTCTCCTCCTTTGGTTGAGACTGGACGGCGCTGTTTAGGAGGAGTAGAAACACTGACAGCAGCCTCTTCGTTTCCTGAATTCACCTCGTCTGGGATTAGACTGGTGTCTCCAGGGATGACTTGAATACTTGATTCAGAGTTTTCCTCTGGCTCCTGGTGAAAGTGCAGGATCTCCTGCAGCTGCGGGGCCTTTGCTGCGTGAGCATGTGGGATCTCTGGGGATGGCGGAGGTGTCGATGGAAGAGGAGCTTCCTTCTCCGTTGACACTGGAGGTTCAGGGACAGGCTCAGGTGAGGATTCAGARGTTTGAAAGGGTGGGGCCAGAGCGGCTCGTTCTTGAGTAGCTGGAGGAGTTTCTTCTGGGGGCGCCACAGCAGCTTGACTGTTTTCTTCGCTCTCTGGAGCAGGCAGCTGACTGGCATCTGGTGCTTGATGAACATGTGCCCTGACAACATTTGATGGAGCGCGAACAGGACCAGGATCTAGGAGAAAACAAATGATCAGATTTCAGTGACTCTTGACTCAGCATTCATGACTGTTCTTCATTGTCCATATGTTTTAGCAACCTAACAACTGGTACTTCTGTATAAAATATTCATCTCATTCAGGAGATGTGTGCTATGATCTTTGGCTTTTGTAACTTTTATACTTACAAAAATATTTTACCTTTATAAATTATTTTTCTAAAAATAATCAATAAAAAATCCCTATAATTTCTTCAGAAACATGGCTCTCTGAACTCTGCTTCTGCATGTTTGCTCCATTCGGTCTTCTTATGCTACTCTTCGCTTTCAGTTAGGCTTTTTTCTAACTTAGCCTATGCTTAGCCTTTTGCTACTTTTAGTTTGCATTTTAATACTTTTAGCCTTTGGTAAACATTTGCTGATTTTAGCTAGCATTAATACAACTTTTAGCTAGATCATTGCAATCATTAGCATTTAGCAGGTCTTTTGCCTCTTTCAACCTTTAGCTAACATTTTGTTGGTTTTAACTAGCATTTGCTCTTTTAGCAACACATTTGCTAATTTTAGCATTTAACCAATGTCTTGCATCTTTTCTCCTTTGGTTTTTAGGTAGCTCTTGTGCTACTTCTAGTTAGGATGTTGTTGCATTTAGCCTTTAGATAACCTTTTGCTGATTTTAGCTAGTATTTGTGCTACTTTTAGCTCGCCCCTTTATTTTCAAATTCAGCCAGTCTCCCGCATCTTTTAGCTAGCCATTTTCTTCTTTGGCTTTTAGGTAGCTTTTTTGCTACTTCTAATTAACATTTTGTTACCTTTAACCTTTAGCTAACCTTTTGCTGGTTTTAGCTAGTATTTGTGCTACCTTTAGCTTAACCATTACTAATTTTAGCATTGAACCAGTCTCGTGCATCTCTTAGCTTTTAGCTAGCCTTTTTCTTTGGAAACTTTAGGTAGCTTTTTTTTAGATGTCATTACCATTTTTGTTAGTTTTAGCCTTTGGCTAACTTTTTGCTGGCTTTAGCTAGCATTTTGGCTACTTTTAGCCCTTTGCTATTTTTAGCACTTAGCTAGTCTTTAGCTTTTTTTAACCTTAGCTTGCCTTAGGTAGTTTTAGTTAATAGATAGAATTTTGCTACTTKTAGCTTTAAACTAACATGCTGCTTTTTCAGTTTCAGTTTCTTCAGTAAATTTAAAAAGTCACTCAGATCTCCACAGTCACAACTTCTTTAGGTCCATGAGGTATGAACCAAAACCTTCACACCTTCATTTAGATCAGCTAAATACAAAAAAATCAACATGTTTTATTAGCAAAAATCTATTGTATAAATGAAAATTGACTTACTGTTAACACCTCTCAGAGCATTGTATTCTTTTCTCATTTCAGCTGAAAGTTTTGGGTTCTCACAAGCATCCAGGCCCTCGATGAACTGCTCTGCCCAATTATCTCTTCTCCTAAGACACTCAAGGAGAACCATCATGGCGTCATAATTGCCATTAGTTTCTCTTTTTGCCTGTATATTTTCCTAAAACAGAATAAAAAAGGTTGAAAAGAGCATTTTCAGAATAGTCATCGATTTTTTTATATATATATTCAGTAGAAGGAGGACATTATACTGCAAAATACAACGTGGTATTTGACACAAAACTGAGTTTTATGATTATTTGGGCACTACAACATATGTATTAATGTTTAGTGAGAACAGAAAAGCGTATAAAATACTTAATTGTCCTTATTCAAGCTAAAAACACATTTGCAGAAATTTCTTTTCGTGATTATGTTGTTTTGTTTACTATTTTTAACAAAAAAGAATAAAAACAATCTGTCATTGCCTACAGTCAATTACAATTATTTCAAGGCTGTTGTAGTATAGGGTATAGGGTATATTAAGTGGTATTCAAACCAGACACCGCATAGCGGTAACATAATGACCCCCGCACGCACAAATGCACCAGAACTCAGAAGTCTTTATTACCAATAAATGTCATGCTACTAGGTGCATCTCAAAATTGTAGTGGCTTGGGAGGGGGTCTTTTTTGTGTGTGTGTGTGTGTGGGGGGGGGGGGGGGGGGGGGGGGGG